CGAAAACTGCTTGCCGAAAGCACACTTGCTCATCCATAGATTTACGTGAGGTTTGGTCGCTGCTCCTTTTCGCGATCGTCATGCTGCATGGATGCACGGATTGTCACATTAGCAACCTGCACTACGTTGTTTGCGTCCTCTTCAGCATGTTCGCTTACAGGGACATCAAGCATCGACTGATAAACACCCCAGGCTCCACGATTTAACTCCACAGCAGGAATGCATTGAATGGGTTTCACGCGAAATCAACATTAACTGACACTATATTGCGGCGCCGTCTATGGACCGATGGAAAGAGGTATGTGGTTGCACTGGTTTTTCGAGAAACGCTGGGCAGAGCTGCCGAGACACCTTCGAAGGACACTGTGGGTTGGATGCGTTTTTGTCTTGTGTAGGTCCAGCGTGGTCTAGCCATGGTCTGGAATCTAATAAAACGGTATAGAAGGGTCCTATCTCATGTTGTTTGGAGGAGAACACACACACACACACACACACACTTTGGCTTGGCACGAACTGATGCGAAGAAAGACAGACAGGACAAGACGAGACTTTGACAGACTGCAACAGGTCGTCGTCATGGGCTAGGTTTCTGGCCCAGAATGTGGTAGGTTTCGGTCCCTCATTCCAGACCCAAGGAATGGAATGTGTTGAGGGATTAGGGTCCTGTCCCTCGTCGTCCTCGTGCCAGACGCAAGGAATGGCATATGCTGCCGTCTGCAAAGTGCAATGCTGGCAGCAACATGTAACACGTTACAGGGATATGGGTTCTGTCCCCGTTGAGGATACCAGCTGCGGACTCACCCACCCAGGTACTCCTCTTAGGTACGTTTACACGTCTGCTACTCATGGTCTTCGCTGGCCCCAGCATGGGTACCAGACCTGGGACCCCTTGCACTGACACGAAAGCTGCGGAAATTGCTATGCCTTACAGTCGCCATGTCCAGGCTTTAACACACACCCACCCACGCACGCACGCACGCACACATACGAGCACGGAGGGCCAGCTGCTTCCACAGCAACAGCACCGTTTTCAAACTCAGGGCACTGGGCACCATGACGTTTCTCAGTTTCAGGCACTGTCCAGTTTTGCTGTTTTGATTTGTCGGTGCTTACTTCTGCACGCACCCACCGTCTTTGCGGCCGCAGGAGCATGTCTTCCAGCTGTTCAACAATGCCCTTGGATTGAGGAGTGATTCGTTGATCTGGGTTCACGGGTCATGCCTCACGTTCTCATGAGAAAGTAGCAGCAACGTGGGATCGGTTGCTTCCAGTCCACTTGCGTGCCTGAACCCAGGTGCCGAGAGCATGGTTCACGACATTTCGTTGCAGCTTCGGAGACTGCAATTCCAAGATGGGCCTCCCTGGCGAGTTATACGCGAAAGGTGATATCCCAAGTCCCGAATAACTTTCCAAGCATCCAGTCACAGAGTCAGGTGTTCCAATCTTTGAGTATGCCACACGGCCGCAATGAGTCATGAATCACTGACTATTGACTTGATTATCGGTACGCTGGGCTGAGATGATGCCGGAATACCTTACGCCTCCGACTTTAGCCGAGCATAAAGCCAGCACAGCCGACCTGCGTGGGGCTGACTGAAGACTTCTGACCAGAATGAAGTGCGCATGAGTGCGCACTTCCGCGGAAATGCTGGCTTCGGAAATTAGGCGGTCGGAGGCGCAGCCGTAAGATGGGGATCATCCAGCCCCTTAGATTATGCCACACGCATGTCTCTATCAAGTTCGAGGTGCTGGAGGACAACGAGAACGGCGAAGTGTTGGGCATGCAACCAGGTATGCATTTGGCCGCCATGTGTGTCTTGTGTTTGGTTTCTAGCTTCCATCCTACGAAGAGTCAATGCCCCACAAGCTCACGGAACAGATAACGGAAAAATGGGCTGCATCCTTTCGGCATGAAGCTTTGAGATAGCACGATGTCCAGATCACACAGAAACTTGCAGGTTGCAGGCCTTTGCACTGTTTTGTGGGTTAGGAAAGCGCGCAGATGTGAGTCACTCGCGACCTGATCCAGGTTCTATGGTTGCTTCACAATATTGGTGGAAATTGTCCTCTTCAACGTCATCAGTGCGATGTTCGTAGAGTCCACCATGGAAGCTGCTGCCCACATCTCCAATCTGAAGCGAAGGGAACGACTGCAGGCAACGCAGCTGAATTCAACACGACTTGCGACATGATGTGATGTAGCTCGTCTCAGATCGCAAAGATGGCCTGGGGCCAAAGGCTCGAAGGTCTCAGAAGTACACTGCGGCGGTAGGCTTTTTGTTAATTCCTTGATCTTGTGGAGCACAGCAGCAGTGACTAGCGTCGTGGCAGTTGACTGCAAAGAGCTTCATAGAGCTTCCATGTCAGAGGCATTCTGAGAATCTTGTTCTCAGGATGAGGGCTTGCTGTACACCCGCATTGCTATTCTGGTCAGGCAGGGTGTCCGGCCATGACGGTGTAGATAAATCATGTCGAGCACGACAGTGCCATTCATTCTTTTCGCGTGTGTGCTGTCAGCTTCGCAATGTCTTCTCGCAGGCGGATCATGATCAAAGCCACCGGAACAGATCCGGGACAGGCGCGGAGAATGTGCAGAAGTAAACCATCCACACGTACAGTGTCACTAACTGTAAGAATAGGAGGGTATAACGGCATAACCTTATAACTGTATAACGATATGGAGGCAAGCTCACGTTGAAAAGGTGAGAGATCACCGGCCAACCCTTCGAAGAAATCGAACGGGAAGAACCAAAGTTTGGCCCTCTTCGGCAGGCTCTGACGGAGCACCTGGACACGATCGTGCGGGCCCAGGTCCCCAGGGAGACCATTGACCAGGCGGTGCCCGCATGTCTCGCCGGCAGACATCTGTAGGCCACTCAGAGAGATGTCTCGGAGAGTCATCGGTCCGCTGCAGGTCATCTATGACCACGAAGCTAAGCAGGCTTGGGCTGCACTCTGGCATACAAGGCCTGTGAGTACTGGAATGCTCATGACAATCGGAGGCTCTCATGGATCTGGACATCAACCCGCTCGATCACGCACCTTTGCTTTGCAATGATTGATTCTCACAGCAACAGATTCCAGCCTTAAGGGCCGGCTGTCGGACATTTTCGACCCGGACAATGGTGGCACCATCGGGGTTATGGACATTGCTGCCGGAATCCGGAGGCATGTCGCATGAGCTGCGCGAAGGGTGCCAAGAGAAATCCAGTGCGAGAGTATCCATACTTCCGCGATGCCTCCCGCAAAACCGTCATGCCAGAGTTGTTCGGCACAACTCGGAAGAAGCCTTTCGCAGGGACAAGTCGTGACCTGCTGGAGGCTTTCTCAATAAACTTGCATGGGACCGGCCCCGTTTATGCAGCCATGACGGTCCTGATGTCGCACTTGTGCCGTTTGCATGGTCCCAGAGTTCTTCTTGCATTCGGATAGCTCAGACACGGGCCGTAATATTGAAACAACCGGCCGAGCGTCGAAGCAGTCGCATGCATTCAAGGGCTTGGTTCAGAACAAGTCGGAGGTGCTAGCTCAAGTCAGAAATCAAGAACTTGAAATCGCGTTCAGTGAGGAGGATTCTGTTTCCGATTGAGTTTGCGAGAAATAGGAAATTCGGACCTGGGACGACAAGCGCGACAAGTCTAAGTCACGATTGAAGTCTCAATAGCCCCTTGACCATACGTCTTTGCAGTGAACTCCAGGCTACGTACAGTGATTTCGGGTTGCTTCTTTCAGCTGATTGCCAATTCATGTAGCTTATCAAACTGAGACCATTAGACCTGCCAGGCTTCGCGGGGAAGCTCGCAGAAGATGCTTGGTGACATTTGTTGGTTGCGTTTCTGTTTCCGCGGACAGTGTAGGACTGCCGACGCCAAATTAAGCAAACAGTATGGGAGCCATACAAGGATTATACAATGCCTTGTGGAAGACGGCAACAGTGACAATGCTTCAGTTGTCGCGATGCAAGGCGACATTGTCTGTGTGGACTTGATGCTGGCACCTTAGATCCGCTTCTGGTCCCAGACCGACAAAAAGACCCCTTACTCGCAGGCTCGGATCCTTGTTGTAAGAGCCGCCGTCGCGAAGACTTTACCAAAGGCTGCGCCATGTGCAGTCCATTCTCGTGGACATGGCTGATGTGACTTCGGCCGAACAGGTGAAGTTTGTATTTCGCAGTAAGCAGTACAGGGCGACTCAGACTAATCCTTACGCCCATCCACTGCCACCATAGTGTCTTCTAGATCGGACCTAGCTGAGTTACGCTACGTGATTTGTATCTTGCACTTCTTCCTTTGTCTTCTGGCAGCTTCCACCAAGTGACTGCTACCAGTATCCTCAGCACCCCCTTGCCGAGCTTTGAGGCGATCGGTCGGATAGAGATGGTCGTTCTACCGCAGCAAGGGCCGACATGACGTCTGAGAGTGCAATGCACCCAAGTCTCATTTGCAGGTTCCGCGTTCTCGTGACACAGCAACTGAAATTATCACCATATCCGCAGCATTTACCGGAGACTGTTGAAAGTTCCAGTGATGTCGAGGACCACGTATCATCCACGCAAATTGTGATTGGATGACCGGAACGTGCTGTTCAGACGTGGAGCTCAGACCACGTGATTTCGCACGGAAGATGGGAGGGGTTTCTGGGCTTCTGGTTTCGGTCGTGCCGACTAGCGGCCCACACCAGCTCATGAAGTCCACCTCGTTTGTTTTAGACGTCACTGGCTCGGCGCACCCCGCTAAACATCACGTCGCCCCCTTGATGTGGCGGTCGTAGTATTAGTAGTCGTGACAGAGGACTTGAGTACCAAGCTTTCAATGCCAGGCAAGCCTACACGTGGCAGGTGGGCTGGTTAACGAAGTAGGTTCCACTGAACGGCGGTTACTGCCGAATGGAAGTGAGAGCCTTTATCGCTGAATAAAGCAAAAGTGAGGCTGTGCTTGCAAATGAAGGGACGCTTCGGCATGCAGACAGTATCATTGCAACCGGAGAATCACTATCCGCAGGTCGCAAGCGACTTAGACGTCTACCCAGTTTGGGCAGCACGTCTGCAAGAAGTCGTACTGTATATGGCCTGCCACATAGGTGAGTACAGTATTTTGCCCGACCCTCGCGCCCAAGGTCAGCGCGGCTGCCTCGCCGCAGAGTTCCCGCGAGGACCTACAGACAAAACTGTCACGAATATGCATGCCCGACAATGTGACAGCTCAACTTCACAAAACCGGAAGAGGAGAAGAAGACGATCCAGCGCCAGATTGCAAGCTTGTCCAGGCGGATTGCTGCAGGAGGTCAGGGCACACACGTACGAGTGCATGCAGGTCTGCTCAATGACTCAGCTAGGCACTTCAGCCATGCTTTGGAGTGCTTGCCACAGCTCCGTACTCTCTCTCTCTCTCTCTCTGCGCAGCCGAGTAGACTACGCACATGCAGCCATTTTGGCACAGTCGGGGTGCAGGGCTGCAGGGCGTGGTCCCGAGAGGATGGAGGACACAAATCCAGTGTCCTTGGACATGATGACGTTGTGCGATGCCGGAGGGGCAGTGGCTAGCAGCAGCGCAGCAGGTGTAGCTACGTCCTCGATGGTTGCAGCCACGCAGATTGATCCAACGCAGATGGACGACAGTTCGGAGGAGCTCTTGAATCCGGAGCCAGTTTCGCTGACTAGAACTGTCTGCGAGACACCCCCGCGAAGCCGCCATATCGCGGGGGAGGAGGTGGCCTCTGCGACGCAGACGACGATCGCTGCGGTGCTCGAGACGCCTCCGCGAACTCGCCAGCTCTCGCTGGAGGAACTGCAAACGCCTGAAGGAAAAGTTCGTGTCAGGAGCTGGTCGATGGTTCGGGTCGCCGCGAACCTGACACTGTTCATGACGGTCTCCAAGCCCTCGAGCTTGTACGTTTCTCGGCCTTTGGAGTTAGTGCTGCCAGTCGAGCTGACTTCCAGGCACAGGTCGCTGTAGTAGGAGTGGAGATGGGCTGTATGCGCCCTTGGTCCTTGTCGCAACAAGTCCCTGGAAGTCTGACCTGGTGGAGAGTTTCGTGCATCTCCATCTCCACTCCTACTACAGCGACCTGTGCCTGGAAGTCAGCTCGACTGGCAGCACTAACTCCAAAGGCCGAGAAACGTACAAGCTCGAGGGCTTGGAGACCGTCATGAACAGTGTCAGGTTCGCGGCGACCCGAACCATCGACCAGCTCCTGTCAGGCAAGACCAGCTTGAATCAGGTACGCTACATGCAAAGCCGATGTGCACCTCGCGGCCCCGTCCTCACGAAGGAAGAGCTCGAAAGCAGTCTTTCCTTGTGAACTGCAGCACCCTTGCTCCGCAGCAGCCTTACACGCTGCACTCCGAATGGAGTGCCTTCTTTGTATAAGAGCATGCTCCATGTCCACGAAGCTCCCGTTGTACAGAGATCCGAGCAGTGGGCACGGTGTCCCAGGGTCTTGTCCCGTCCAGAGAGCCAGCTCTGTCCTCCGGCAGCCAGAAACCAGTGTGGTCTCCTGGCTCGTACTGCCCAGCGAGTGCGTGCAACTGTCCCCTAGGCCCTCGTCTCCAGTCCTTGTCAGCCCCGCCCTGTCTCAGGAGGATTCTCGTCTTCTTCATCGTCTACGACGCCGAGCCCGACAAGCAGATCCACCTCCGCCAGTGCCTCGACGTGTTTGGTGTTTCTTGAGGTTTCTTCACGGAACACGCAGCATACAAAAATCCACCAACAAATAAACGCAAAATTTGGGAACATCACGGCTTTGACACAGCAAAACCACCGAACCCGCAATGCAAACATTGGAAAAGGCTATAGACACGCAAACAAGCAGTGAAAAAAACACTCAAACACAAATTTCAGAATCCAGGGTAGTGAACTTCGCCTTGCATGCCGTTGCGAGGCGCGTCGCCTTTTCCTCTACAAAGGAACCAAGACCAAAGCCTGGGGCTTCGTTCTTGGCAGAAGCTAAGTCAGCTAAGTGCGACCTGAAAATGCGGTGACTCGATCGGCTGATAGATCGGTTTGCTGCAGACGTGGGAGTCGCTCCACTGCGAGTCGAGCCGTGAAGAGGCATGGACAGTGGGCACACGACTTGGAGATGGCCTGCTTCGAAGCGAAGGCGATGTTTGGTCCACCAGGGCCCAGCTTTAGGCAATCATCCTGCAGAAATCCCAATCACAGAGCTTCACCTTGCTAATGACTTCTCTCTCACCGTCCCTCCAAGCTTCGCCTGAGGTGGTGCTGGTGGTATCATCGCGCGGCGGGTTGCTGTGGAGGGCGACGGCGAAGACCCCTCCGAGGCAGATTCGATCAGACTTCTCCAGGAAATCGAAGAGCCGAGCCCCGCTTTGTGAGAGGTTTGTGTTTCGCCGGCGGCCCGAGGTTGGGAGGTGCAGCGGAAACATGCTCACACACACACACACAAAAATAAAAGCTGGCATCCAACATGCTGATAGACTTGTCGCAATCCAAGCAAGCTCAAGGTCTTGTTGAAACACGGCTTGTCAACAACACCGCTTCTTGTAAGGTCGTCACGAGGAGTGGAACAAAGAACGCGTAAATATTTCGGATTGTGCCACTGATTTACCCATGTGAAAACTTGAACGTCGCCAACTCGCAGAAAGTGCAAGTCCAGGAATCCATCGTGCCCGCTTCGGCGTATTCGTTAAAGCCAAAAATGAGCTGCCGTAGAGGGGCGAAATGCAAGGTCGCTTCCGGCGCGGCCTTCTCCTCAGTTCTTCAATTTTCCGGCGAGCTTGCTGGAGAGATTCTTTGTGGCATTCTAATTCTACCCGTCCCGCAGCAGAATTTTGAGGTAGTTTGTAGGATCTGGCCGCAGTAGTGCACAATGTTTTTCCTGCTGCTTTTGAGCTTGCTGCTTGCGTCGCCAGTGCTGACTCTGAGCTGCATTGAGCACTTTTGGGTCGATGTGCAAGCTTGTGGCCACTGGTTTTATGAAGTTCTTCGCCCCCTGCTGGATAACCACAGAGGTACCTCCTGTTGAACTCTTTAGTTCCCAGGCTGGCAATCGTGTACCCTTGCACGGCTTGACAGAGCCACATGGCCCTACACCAATTCACGGCAGGCTGCTGGGGCCGCAGAATCTGAAAGAACGCTACGGTGCGAGCTGGTCGCTCGTGACTGGCTCCACTGGCAGCAAGCAGCATGGGGCATGGGGCTTGCTTCTTTATCCCCTTATGCTTTCTACTGCAAAAAGCAATCTGATCTGAATCTCAGGTGGCTCCTCAGGAATTGGCAAGGCCGGAATTGCGGGTGCGCAGAAGCTTCGCACACCAATCTTCTCACCATCCCACGCAGGAGCTGGCGCGAAAATTGCTATCCCAAGGGCTCAATTTGATTATCATAGCGCGCACCGCTCTCAGTGAGCGCGGAAGACTGCCCAGGAAGCGAGTCGTGTGCAGTGTCGGGAGCGGAGAGCCACGTGATGCTCGTGTAACTACTGTAGGGCTAGCCTGGAGCTTGGACACACCAAATTTGGGGGAGGTGCAATACAGGCAGCTGACAGGCAAGGAGCAATAAAAACAAGAGAAAATCCAGTATGGAGGTGACGAGCCGATCTTCGAAGAGACCTTAAAGGTGATCGCTGCCATGTTAGTCATTGACCCGCAGATCTTTCCTGAATCTGAGCTCACGAGTGCACCTACAGAAGTTGACGTTGATTCCATGCTGATTCAGGTGGCTGTGTTTCATGTTTCTCGCATTGGTATTGCTTCTTCCCTAGCCAGGAGCTAAAAAAGGAGTTTCCGAAAGCGACGATCCGAAGTGTCAAGGCAGGTTTCCTCACTCTTCAGCTGCACTCAATGCACTCCTTCCGCCCTTTGTTGGTGGAGCATGGCTCAGGCAAACTTGTCGGACAGTTCTGGGTCCTGGATGGCAGACGTCAAAGAGGCAACCAAGGATCCTTCTCGAATCCGCCTCCCATTGTGCATTGAATGTCGTTCTTGAGCCATGGGCTTTGGAACCGGTGTCAGCAGGACATAGATGTTCAAGTGGTTTTCAACAACGCTGGCTTCATCGTCACAGGCCGGAGCCCGAGGGAAAAGTCCCGCAAGGCTGCATACATTGGCTCAAGTGGCTCAAGCTTCAAGGCTTCTTCGAGCAGCACTCGGTGGAGACGCACCTCGCAAACTTCCACTGCAATCTCACTGCAAACATACACCTCACCCACTACCTCTACAGCAGACTCATCAGCAAGGCAACTGAAGGTTGGCACCTTTTGTCCCGACAAAACACGGGCCTTGTCTCTTGCAGGGCCTGAAAGGCTGCATTGTCTTCACTTCGTCCTCTGCGGGCTTCATTCCAAACCCTTTTGCTGCAATGCTGCGTGGATGCAGAGGAGATTCATTAATTTTTTTATTATCGATTGCCATGTTCGTTAAAGAGCATCGAGATGATGCAACTCGTGGGTTTGGGGGCTCAATGGGCGGCGACATGCACATGTCGCACAGCCGCTGTCAACAAGCTTCAGCTTGTGACTCCTGCACGTGGTGCTACAAAACCACGGCATGACTAAGGTACGGCTGCACCAAGTCAGGGCTATCAGTCACTCCACTGGAAGGAAAATCGATTCGGAGTGTTCTCCTAACCTGAGTGTTCCGTTGAAGATGGCAATCTCTGTCGGATACAATACAGATCGATACGGTCATGTTTAGAGGTTTTCACGCTTCGGAGTATGGCCAGCATAAGACCCACCAACATTAAAAGAGATTGCGAACCCTTTGCCAATCCAAGGAGCTGGCTGCAAGTCTTGCTGTTGAGGGCAAGGCACGTGGCGTGGACGTTCATGCAGTGCACCCGAGCCCAGCTCTTTGGTTTCAGAGCACAGCAGTCGCTCTTTTTTCATCCATGTCGCTCCGTTTGTTGTAGATCCGCCGCGTAACTTAAGGTCCAGACTGTTACAAGTTAGTTGCCATGATTTAAAGGTTACCCCATGGCCCATGACTGAAGTTAAAGTTTGAGGTGGTCCTTTGCAGGGTGAGCTGCAGCTTGGCTGACTGCCTGCCCGAGGTGAATTCTCGATTCACAGCTGGTGGCGGGAACGATGTCAAAGTGCACAAGATGAACATGTGCCTTGCTCAGCCAGGCGTGTCACCGTAGGATGCCGGGATGCCTTCTTGTAAGCAGATGTCTTGCGAAAGTAGGTGCCAGTAATGGCTCAATGTTCGAAGCCTCAAGCACATGCCGACATCGAACAAACACCACGTCATCCTGATGGCATTGCAAATGTCTCAAGGTTTGACATGGCCTACAAAATGGCCACAGGTCCGGAGGAGCCGAGCTGCACGTGGGGACACCCTTCGGAAGTCTCCAGGTTCTCGAGACCGTGACATAAAACGGAGTCCGAGAACTTGCGGAAGGCAGCACAGAGTGTAAGAGCATGTCAGGGGTAAAGCTCGCGAAAGTCTCGGAACACAGGAGCTTCCGAACCAGATCTTCGCTGCCGTCGGCCGATCCCCAGCAACTTGTTTAGGAAAGGAGCCCCGAAAAGAGGTTTATGAAGGCCTGTGCTCAGTGACAAGCTCAACCCGGATCTGCTCGAATGAGGTGATGATTGATCTTGGTGGCACGTCGGTCGGCATGCGGTGACTTGGTGCCATTTGGTTTGACATGCTTGGCTCTGCAACGTCTCGGTTTTGGCACATTGACGAAAATGCAGCTGCAGAGAGCCGCAGGCCGTGCCCGCTTGTCCGCATTGGCATTCTGGTCCAAGCTTGTACTCCTGGCACTTAATTCGGCCCTGTAACTCATGGCCTGTGCCTGGACACTTGATTATTTGGAGGACGCCAAAAAACTGGAGCACTGAGTGTTTTGTGCAGTTGGATGTAGGGCTCATGCAGGAAATTGGCGTTTGGCCTTCTCCCGCGAAAGAGACTTCTCCTTCAGCTCCAGCTGCAACAACTGCAGCTACAGCTGCCCCAGCCGAGCTCTCGTCTGCCAGCCCGATGAAGGAGCCACTTGGGCACAATGGGACTCTCCTCAACGAGTAGGGATCTTGGGAACAGGATCCAGGAAATATTTGGCCCTGGATGCTTCGGGTTTAGTTTAATCAGTCTGGGAGATGCTATGATGAGCAAGACGGCCAAGCTACCCAAAGTAGCACTGCTCAGAAGTGTTTATAGCCCGGGTGATCGGAGAAGTTTCTCCACACTATAAGGCCAGAAGGGGTGCTCTTGTGATGTCGCAGCTGTCATATTGTTACTAGGCTCCGGCAGAGCGGTCTGCGGAGTTCAGACGGAACCGGGGAAGACCTAGTGGCCTTCCAATGCCATGCCGCCATGCCATACGCGATCATGCGCCGTTATACCTCTCGCCATTTCGTTACTTGGTACTCCATGGGCGTTTCTGACTGAAGGCTGTCGCCAGAGCAGCTGGCTAAGCTCTCCAAGGCAGGAGTTTTCACTGATGGGCGCTTCCTGCTGGAGTGGGCAATTTTTGGAAACGGTCAAGCCCTTCTCCTGGCTTTCACAGAGATGATTAGAGTCAGAGTGATTGGTTCGGTCTCGGCTGCCTTTCGTACATTCCGCGAGGAGGAGCGCAAAGCCTACCACGAGGCACGGCGAGCCCAGGCCAAGGGTCAGGCAAAAGCCGAGCCCAAGAAGCAGCTGACCAAGGCGAGCAGAAGTTCCGTCCTCCTGCAAACTGAAGTTAGAAAGCCTCCACCAGAGCCCCGGTGAGGCTGAAAGACGCCAGATCCAAGAGGAGCAGCGCAAGGCATGAGTATGTTAGTTCATGTGCCCCGCTCATGACTGCCTTTCCTGCGCCGTGTCCCGCTACAGCCCTGGGAGGTCAAAGAAGCCTCTAAAGATGACGGCAAGGAGGCGATCACTTTGCCTTTCAGTGAAGCGAAGCGAAGCGTAGTCATCTACGGCCCTACGGATGGATTAAGTAGGACTTGCAGCTCAGTAAAATATTAAAGATTTGGTGGGTGGTTCTTGCCTGACACCTTGTAAACGTTTATGTCAGGACTCAGGCTCGTCGCAAGCAAGCATGATCCGAGCTACCACAACCGAAAATCCTGCTTTTGCGGCTCAGAATTGGAAGCCCTGTTTGCAAGATGGCGACAATTACCATTGGTCGTTTGTGTCAAGCATACGGGGTTGCTTTTGCATGTCGCCTTCTGCCATTTGCAACTCGTGTCCCGTTGCGCTCCGGTTCCTGTTCCGCTACTCTTTTTGTCTGGTGATGCTTCGTAACAGCACAAACCTAAAGGTAAATGCCTTGCGGTTGCGACTACCTCGGGTTGAGTGCTTCCAAGATCTTCCAAACCTCCCTCCCGTACTAGTCAGCTGGCCCGCCTGATCTCCTAATGCCATCTATATAGGGCCTGTCTGCCAAAGATCATTGCCTGGTTTTCATCTATACAAATCGATCCAGGACGACAAACTCCTAGCGGATCTGAAGCTGCAAGGCTTGTCCGAGGATCAGGCCAGCTCGTGATGAGTTTACTTAGTTTACTTCATTCGCAGAATTCCTGGCCGAGCGTTCTCCAGATGACTCGCCAGGCACGCGCTGTGATGTTGGAAATGAGAAAAAATGTGGAGCTGGATGACGACGAGTTTGATGAAGACGGAGTAGAGGATTTCCCAACTTCCGTCCGCCGATGGATGAACGAACAGCCGCAAACTCTGGGGGAGGACAGTTGCTGACCTTGGCCCTGTGACTGACTTGACGAGATTCCGCATTGATGGGCTTGCAGGGGCGATGCCGATGTTGCTTTACGGCTCAGGACCCCATGAGAGACTTCAACATGCAGGCAGCAATTCACAGAAACGCAGAGTGATTGTGCAACCCAGTATTTGCCTGATGTGCACAGCATATTGAACCTGCAGCTCACTTTTGACAGGTTCGCTTCCAGGGGCACGTGGACACCACGCCCACCGATCATTTAGGCTGGTCATTGCCGAAACCGTGTGCTTGCGAGCTTCGGATAGAGTTCTGGGGTTTGACAGCTGCTCCGAGATACTACAGACTAAAGCGCGCACGACGATCTTCAAAGTCTTTGTCACTGAGAGGTTGCCTTCTATCGATCCTTTTCGAGGAGGCATGCAGTACTTGCATCAGCGAAGCTGCGGCCAGCAAAAAAAAATTGCAGCACCGCAGCAGCATTGGCAGGTTGCCGACTTTGTGCTACAACAGTTCTTCTTGTCCACCTACTGCTTAGGCCAATGGCGATTGCCAAGAAGCTGGAGAAGCCGCTTACAAGATGGGCGCCGTTGCTAAAGGCCTTGTATCGAAAGACTCTTGCGAGCAAATGCACATGTTGTCAAAGGGAGCAAGTGCGTTTGTTCTGCCGCTGACACTCGCCAGTGAAGACATGGGCCCAATGTAGATCCATTGCAGTTGTAAGGATTTCTGAGATCGGCGATGAAATCGGCGATCCTTTCCAGGCTCACATGCTTCAATTGGACCATGGATTGGACTGCAGCTGTGTTGATGCAGGCTGCTGATGTTGTTTGCGCGTCTTCTCAGACCGCAGCGGGATCTGCGGCAACAGCCACAAGTGCCAAAGAAGCGGAAGGAGCTGACAGCAAGCTGTTGCATTGCCCACTCATCAAACCTCATCAGGTAAATTGCTTTCGCCAAGCCCTTTGTGGGCAGGAGCTATCGCCATGGTTGGCTGCCTAGTCGGGCTGCGGGAAGCCGATCTTGTCGAAGACGACGAGCTTCTTCAAGGGCACCCCGATTGCACGGTAGTCTTTTGAGCACATTACCTGTCAGAAGTCCTTGCTTGCCTTTGTTGTGGATTTACCGCGCAGTCATCAGGTGCAGACGAATGCCGTTCGACAACGAGCGTCCAATCGTCCTTGAAAAGTTCATGGAGGACATGCTCGCAGCACGAAGCAGTTCTGCGAAAAGCACGCGATTGCTAGTCTTCTGTTTCCAGGACCTGGACGATGATGAGGACGATGAAGATGAGGATGACTAGTGACTAGCTCTCGCGGACTTGTTTGTGCAGACATGTCCGCCGGGAAAACGCGCGTGCTGTGGCCACACCTTCACACTTTAGCTGCCTGTTCCGGGGTCAATGCGTAGCGCTAGTCCAGAGTATCAAGCCTTCTCTCGAGGTTGGCAGTTCACTTCTTGGGAAACTTGGCTGACACACGATGGCATCATTACATCCGGACAACAGTCGGACAAGTTTCAGCTTGAGGCTACATCTAGTAGCAGCACTTATCGGTGAATTAGTGGTGTGTCCGCAACAGGTGCAAATACGTCCAGCAGCGTGTTCCCTCGCATGGAACCCGAGGCTACAACCTGATGACCTATGGCTTTGCATTGGCAGCTCCGTTACTGAGAGGAATGAATCAGGTCCCGAATATTATTGACTGGAGGGTCAAGATGTGTCAGGTTCCTGCCTGACTACAAGAACAATGTCAACAAGGAGAAAAGCTCCTGAGTGCATCTGAGCGGCGATGTTGCACAGACTGGTCCCGAAGACCGGGTACTCATTAGTTAATGCACCTCCCGCGTCGGCAGCTAGCAAGAGTGACCAAGCTCACCAAGTGGATTCTCGCAACCGTCTCAACCTGCTATGCTGCTATACTCGCGCCAGAGCTACCAGCTAGCCGTCGGCCAGGGACTGCTCCTAACGCAGCTACAGTTGCGGATGCCAGTTTTCAAAGAGCATGCAGCCCGCTGAATCGTTCATGACTAGATCGGACGAAGGGCTTGGATCTTCAGCGAGTTCAGTTGCAGGCCGGGGTTCTCCGGCCAGACAGCGAAGTCACGTTGATACCCATGGGCGACGCAATGTTTTCCGAGGCTCCGGAACTTCAGGATGTTACAGGATTACAGAACGAGCGGCCTCGGATGCCAACTTTATGGAAGGTGCTTCGCACCCGGCAGCGCTACATTGAGGGGAAGGCACCTCATGCCAGCGAGGTGTTGCTTGGACGGAAACTCAACACGCGTCGCAGCACAATGCTTAAGCACATAGGCCCATGTCTTTCAATCGATGCTCCGCGGTTCCCAGCTCTCGAAAGATAATGTGGAAACAAGGGGCTTATTCCATCTTATTCCCTTCCTGGAGGATGCGCGGCTGCAAAAAGCACATGGCGAGGCCGTGGCCCCGACAGTGATGCAGGCAAAACTCGTCGATTACCTGCGATTCTTTCGAGTGCGTTTCCGTGAAACAGAATAGGGCTAGATTGGAGTTTCTACCTGAGCACTTCCCTATTCATCTTTGCCTCCACAGACTCAGGTTGAGGTGACTGGATTTCCTGGCTCGCCGAGCCCTCAAAGCTTGTTTGCTTTGATTTTGGGTCCGCTTCAGCTTCGACAGACCACAGGCTGTCCGTCTTGAACGGCAAGCTCACCCTTCGGCCCGAACACTGATGCGGAAGTTGCTTGTTTTCGTTCACAGCCGCGAATGATCAAAGGTCGGAAACTTGGAATTACCAGCCCGCGTGGCAAAGGTGGGCCCGAGCGCATTTCAGTTTGCCCTTGCTTACATTGCAGTCAGGCAGAGCGGAGGCAAAGAAGAGGCCAGGAGTTGACGTTTTCAGGAGCTTCAACGGGGCGGGCATCCGGGGCGTTTTGCTCACCTAAGTGGGATGATTGCCTGAGATTCTGATCCAGGCGATGTCCTTGCATGCATATTTGGGCAGGTGTTCCTGTACCGAGATTCAGCAGATTCCAAATGGGCCGCAGCCTGAGAACCATATCCATTGCATTGCTTCTCTTCCAAGAGCCTCCGGCATCGATGGAGGTTCTTGGCCTCGAGCTGGGCGATGGCCATTCTCGCATGGCGCATGTGTACAGGGCTTCGCTTTGGGCAGAAGCTGTGGCTTCACAGCTATGTTGAAGTAAAGTCTGCCTGTGTGCTTGCGCAAAGCCCTTTACACAAGTAAAGCCAAAGGATGGCATTCATGTTAAGCCGAGGTACACTTCTTTGGAGTCGCCTGCCGAGGGTCTAGTTTGGGAAGTTGATTGTCTCGCCCTCGGCGAGAGGAAAGTAACTTTGCAAGGCGTTCTTTGCCATCCACGTCAGGTGGCGATCGTTGGCTGCCATTTTTGCCTGCGCAGAGGGCTTGGTCCTGGCAGATTATGTGAGCAAAGACTGGCTTCCAGCATGTCCTGTTGTCCCAAGGACCGTGCGGACTGCAATGCCCTCCAAAGGACGGACCCGCTAGCCGCAGTGGATGCTTCACGAAGTAACTACAGACAGAAGCCTGTCCTGTGCCAAATTGAAGCGAGAAATCCTCAGCAGCTCATGTTGCAAGATGATTTTTGCATATGCCGGACTTTGCCAGACAGCACCTTCGCATCAAGCATGGTTGGGCAATCCAGGTGACGGCGCACGGGCTCACACTGCGCCCAAGTCAAAGCGCTCCCGTGCAAAGAGCGATGAGAAGGGAAAGCGCTCTCCAAAAGATCCGGACAGGGGAAGTGTGTTACGAACATAGGCATACGCTGCCCAAGCTGGGTCGCAAAGGGCAGGGTGGAGTTGGCTGTCGTGTTGCAAGATGGTGCTGTACTCGCTTTTCCGGCCTTCAGACACACCAATCGTTTCCCGATTTGGGGGCATCTCTAGCCGCGCTAGCCGCTAACCAGAATCGTGAGAAGCAGCACATGGATGGTCATGTGGTGCGGCTTCGATCGCAGCTTGTGACGTTATTCAGCACTCCAGAGCGGCAGCTCAAAGTTTTAACCCCTAAGGGTGACCACCCTGCACCCCTCCAAGGGGACGAAGCCAACGCTTAGAAGCCTTAGCTTGCCTTACTTTTTGAGTAGGTTGCAGCCATGGCTTGGAACATTTGTCGAAGCCTTCTGAGGCATCCGACCTGGAGTTACTCTGTTCTGACAAAACTTCTGCTACGGAAATTGACGGAAGATTGTGCTGATCAAGGGTTCGGCAGGCGAACCCCGCGAGTACTGACTTAGTGTATTTTGCTTTGCCTGTGTTGGTTTGTCATCCTGCATTTGTACTGATTCCCGTGTTGCTGTCGGAGGCAAGTAACCCGCCCCGCCTTGCGGCCATGTGCGGCTTCTGCAACATACAACCACTGCAAGACTGCAGCCCCCGCTTCATGTCGGCACGTCTCATGATCGCGCGAGCCAAGCGTAAAAATAAGAAGAGTGATTGGCAGGCGCACGTTGCCACCTTGTGTTCCCCAGCTTGCAGCGCTGAGCCTGGCTCTCAAGCAGATGTTGAAATTGGTTTGCCATGGGTGTAAGGCACTGCTTCGCTGCAAAGGTCCCTGCGGCTTGGCAGTTCGGCGTTTTGCTGAAGCAGCACCCAGTCTGTCACAGGCATGGCCTGAGAACTTACAGCCGTCCAACCTGCAAAGCCCCAGAGCAGTGCAGGATGCTGAGAGGGCCCTTGGCTCAATCAAGGCTGGAAAGCGGAGGGGGAATGTGGCCGAAAGACAGTGTTGGGATGTAAGCTCGCCGGCAGCAATAGATGTAATTGGCCATGACTTTTGGCTGACCAGGCAACCATGCAAGCCCAGAAGAAGGCCAGCTCGGTTCGGGTTTTGTCAGAAGTGCTTCAACATGCAAAGCTCCGCTCCCAGTAAAAACATCAGAGCAGGCTTCCGGAACCTGTCAATGCCCGAGCCTTCAATGCCATTCATGTCACAGGTCGCACAAATACATCTCTCCAAAGCCCAGAAGCGCAACTTTCCTGGCAACATCAGGAAGTGCCCTCCCATGGAACAACCGGAAGGGAGCAGAGAGGCAGACAAGCAGACAGTCCCCACGACTCCGAAGGTACAAGCTCATGGGCGGGAGACCGGAGTTTCACAATGCACGGCACTCTTCGGGCTGCTCCTTTGGCGATCCAACGCTCTATCTCTGAACGTGCCGACGAGGTGGATCGCAACAGGTACGGACGCATCTTCGAGCTGCGCCCTTCTGGCTTGAGGGTGGCTGGTGTCATCTCATGCCCATCGGATCATGGCATTTGGGGGCATTCAAACCCTAAGGCCATGGCACAGCTTTGAAATTGTCATAACGCGTCGGCCTCATCGTGACAAGTTGCCCTGAGGTGTGTATGCCTCGGCTCCCAGCACGCACCATGGTGCCGAACGGCACTTTAACGCACCTACATTAGCCGCAGGTCATCCAAGAATAATTGCTGGGTCGTTGTGAAGAACAAAAGTGTGGTGCCCAGACTGGAGGCAAGTTGCAGGTTGCAGTGACTTGTTCGTACACCGCCAGCACCGCCAGACACATGTAGAATCCTGAATTGTTCAGTGGATTCTTGCATCAAGGCTGGCGTCATCGAACTGTCATTCGGTCCCATGCCGGCAACGTGGGCTACCGCGGCGTACCTGGGCAGAACAGAGGCCGAAGTTCTTCGTGGCGCACATTACATGGAAAGCTGAGCACCTCGGTGTAAGAGTCTTTCATGCCGCTTATCTTTGCAGCAGCCGAGGCACTGAGAAAGTCGGAAGCTGCCACATATGCAATTGTCACAACCTCATCTTTGCTGTCCGGCTACATTCCAAGTCGCCAGGGCAGCGAGTTTGAGAGTTCACTTTGAGCTTCGGCCCTGAACTAGAAAGGTTTCGTGACGACAGCCGCGCACAGGAAACCTGCTCTTTCTCCTACAAGCAATACATGCACAAACAGCTTGGCGGTGCTAACTAAAGAGGTGAAGATCACATGCCCTCCCGACCCTCACACGAGGAGAGTAGGACAAGGGAAGCAATCCTCACGTCCAGAATTTTGACAACCGGTGCTGATACCGCCGAGGGTCTGAACATTGCGAAGAAGCTGCGCCGACTTGGCATAAAGCTCAGATCGTGTTGGATGACAGTGGCAACCACCTGTCCATCATGCTTCCAAGTCTATGTAGGCATTGATTTGATTGCTTGTCGCACATGTCGAACTGAGGTGTCACTTGTGCCGAGGTTCACTTCAGAAAGTTGATGAAGGCACAACAGCATGCACGGCTTGGCAACACATTCCGCTGCATGCCATGCCGTCGACAGTCAGCATGGCAGTTGATTCTGCAGCACTTGCAACTCATTGCGGCCAGGTGGAAACCTGCCTCCAAGCATTCCAGAACGTTGGCCTGCAGGTGGGTGTTTAACGCGCTGCTTTCCGCTTCGCCCAGCTGACGAGTTTGCACGAAGAGTTCCTTGCAACTCGAGCGCGCAGATTACAAAGCTGACCCACATGCCTCGAACTCCAATCGGCCACTTGTCAACACTTCATCAAGTTAGCTTGAACGTGCTGGGTTAAGAGACTGAAGCACCCAAAAAGGACGTGACATAAGCATAAGCGTTTTACAGGGATATGTTTATATGCGATATACCTATCCCACTTTGTTCTTATGTGCTTCTGGGGTACCCTACATGGTGCAGTTGTCATCCTTGGCTCCCTGCAGATGAGGAAATCCACACAAACCACGCAAGAAGCGGCGTGTGTGAGCTTCGGCTTGGATGCTTCTTCCTGGAGCAGACAATTTCAACTACTCCTCGATCGGCAGGCAGGATTGGCAAGTGACCTGCTCTGGCCTTCACAGCTTTACAAGCTGCATTCCTGCCATTAGTTTGTTTCGACGTTGCAGGTAGCCAAAGCCGACACACGATGTTGCTACTGATGCCACGGGAAAAATGAGTTGCTATTGTATACCAGACCCTGGGAAGAGCTGACAAGTAGAACCGCTACCCATACTGCTAAAGGTCACTTTATCGGAACCCTCTTAGGTGATCTACTGGTTGGATCCTCCTAGAGCTCCGGGATGCTACTTGTTCCAGCTGCCCAAGGGTGTGGGATGACAAGGGGAATGTGCAATAGTGCTGAGACCTTATGGACATGATTTGTGGAGCTGTTTTTGTGCCGCAAGAGAAACAGCGGCTCGAGAGCAAAGCGGCTTCCCCAGCAGAGGACCCTGCCCTCCGAAGCAACTGCTGCCGGGATCGAAAACCTGTCCCGACGCCTTGAGGATGGCGCCGGGCGGGTTGGGCGACGGACTCACCACCTTCGACCCGCCACCGCCTCCAGGCCGACGGATCAAGGCCACGGAAGAAAGAGAAGATTAGCTGGTGGACTGAGCGCATGCCTAGCAGCAGACCTCTCGAGCACGAGGAGTGGAGTCCCATCGATCGAATGCTAGCGGAGAAGCAACCAAAGCGGCGGCACCTACACGGCAAGAGATTGAGCATGAGTTGTGGAATTGATCGCAGTACCTACTTACGCAGCCTTTGCCTTGTCGAGACACGGCCGGCCAGGTTTCAGAGCCTCTTGAAGTCTAGGCCCTATATAGGGCTGTTTTCGGGGATGTTAGTAGGGAACAGCAAACTCAACTTACATAGTATCCGTTTTAGCATTTCGCGGCCGCACATGGACGACATGCTCGTGTTTTTGTTTGTGACTGGCCTCGGGCTGCACAGCCTTGTAGACATCAAGTTGGCTTTGTATCAAATCGGCCTGCGCAGCTGTTCCAAGTGTATGCGCGTTTCCCATAGCACCGTCCTGCCAGCTGCTGACAATAGCTCATAAGTGCGCAGGGAGCTTGTCCCCACGATGATCGACATGGATGGCGCCGTCGTGGCGGTTTGTTCATGTTCTCCCACAAATGTGTTTGTCATCCTGGGCTCTCTTCGCACATGCTATGTCACGGTTTTTGGTGATGCCCCGCGTGCTGCCCCATGGATGAGTGGGTGATGAGACAATGTATTCGATCAATCGTGAAGCTGGCTGGATGCAGTCTGCGGCTGAAGCTGGAGGGGGTAGATCGTTCATACCTTCCAAGTCTCCATCCGTTGCTGTCTCATCCACGATGCTTCGGGAGTTGCTTTGTTTGGACTGGCTCACTGGCGAAGACTGCATGGAGGCGTATCTTGATGTCTGGCTTCGTAGGCTGCCCGGCCTAGTAACAGTACAGCGACAGTGCCGTAGGTATCACACAGGCAGAAATCGCAAAGGAGCACCAGGACCACTACTGCTGCTGCTACTACTACCACTACCACTACCACCACTACTACTACTGCTGCTACTACTACTACTACTACTACTACCACTACTGCCTGTACTACTACTACCACCACCACCACCACCACCACCACCACCACTACTAGTGCTGCTACTACTACTACTACTCCTACTACTACTACTACTACTACTACTACTACTACTACTACTACGACTACTACTACTACGACTCCTACTCCTACTACTACTACTACTACTACTACTACTACTACTACTACTACTACTACTACTACTACTACTACTACTACTTGTATTGCCGCTGCTACTGCTACCACCTGCGATCCGGCCATTACCAGACCATACTATGTGCTAGATTTGAGAAGTGGAGCCGTGATGATCGGCGAAGGGCTGGACTGCTAGCAGCCCAACCTGACTGGTATGGCCGTAGCTGCTATATGATCTACCAACAATCTTGACTCGAATGCTTTGTTGATGAACACTTCATCTCACAATGACTGGTTCTACGGAACTGTGGTGGGACTTTCGTAGGATGCGAGGCAACAACATGTTCGGCTCCTGCATACGCTGGGCATGATGTCATCCCCTCACGTTTCCGACGATAATAGAAATAATCGTAATAGCAAGGAATAGCACGTAGGACGTGCCACGAACCCTTCGCCTCCCCCTCCCCACTTTCATTGGACTGGTTTTGAAAAAGACAACTGCTTGAAGCAATTTTCTGCATTGACTGGCACGAGAAACTATGGAAGCACAGCTGGATCCACCCAAGCGTTTAAACGTTTCGAAGCGTTCGCCAAAAAAGGGTTATGCTTTCCCTGGCAGCAGAGTGCAATTCCTTTGAGTACTGTTGCCACGCCCGAGGACAAAGACCGAACTGCCGCCGCTCAGCACACCACCGGCACCGGCCGTCATCACTGCCTCCGCTCAGGCACCTTGCAGTCAGGGAGTCGAGCCAACACGCTAACATGCTGTAGGCTAGCTGCGGGTCGGGTCCCACTTGCGGAAAGAGAGGAGCTGTAGAGCATCTGTCAGCGCTTGTGCATTGTGCGTTGTCCCAAGAAGAGGTGCAGACGAACAGCTGGGAGTGGCTGCTCAAAGAGGCTTTGGCTCCCGAGCATGCAAAGTACCAAGCCCAGAACCAAGCTCTTCAGCAACTTGGCAGAAACTACGCATTGCATGGATTTGCCGGCGCTTTGGTTTGCGCTGGCCTCTGCCCAAGCTTCCGCCTGGTCTTGCGAGGACTGAGCTCCAGGCTCTCGAAGTCCGACTAAGCCAGACGATGGCCGAGCTCGAAGCAGAGCGGGAAGCCCACTCCCAGACGAGATCCTGCTGGGAAGGGGAGCGTGCATCGCTGGATGAGCGTCAAAAGATGCTGGACGATCAGAGGAAGTCAATGGAGTCCGAAAGGCCGATAGTCAAAAGACACTGCGCCCATGCGCAGTGTGAAAAGTCCTGCTCTCGACTGGCAGGCTGCAGTGGACCCAAGAACGAGAGGCCGGTCAGACAGGTAGCCCCGACAGCCCGGACGCCAAAACCTTTGGACCACGTTTTCCTCATAGCAGCTCTGTGCTAAACGGTTTACTCGTTTTGATGTTTGATTGTAGCACGCACATGGTCCGGCATCAATGCTTTGGCGCCTGCGTTGTAGTGGTGTACCACGAAGTTTTCGCTGGATGGTGGACCCGGAACATCGAAGTCGCAAGTTGGCATAATCCCCCCCATGTCTTCCAGATTTGTGGCGAAATCACGTGATGGCTTCTGATGTGTCGTGCTGGTGTTAGGCATTCCTTCTGTATTTGCTCCCTGTATGTCCATATTCTATATTCCTTGCATGTCATGGTACTGGTATCTGCAGGTGACGGTTAGCATGCCAAAGTCTGGTGGCAGGCTCTCGAGGCTTCGCTGGCGCTGCTTAAAGCAGAGCTGCGCAGCGCAGCCACCGAGGCTGAGACGCATGGCACTGCTTGGCACTGCTTCGTTTCCTTACAGGAACGCTTTGTGCTGGGAGGCGGAGTCTGAGCGCTATGCCTGGGAGGTGACGCACAGGGATCCGACTTGTGAACCACAGCACATAGCACGCATCGCCATCGTGGCAGAGGAGACCGAGAAGGAGTTGCGGGCACAGCTGGAGAATGCGCGTAACGCGGCTGAATGTCTCTCAAGGCACCCAGACGATTTGGGCTCAAGGCCCAAACGAAATTTGACGCGTTCCACAGCAAGCCGTGAACCTCAGCATATCTAAGGTCAAGCGCGACAGCAAAGTCGAGAAGAGGCAGAGGCAACACCCGGTGAAGTCTTCACTTCTCCACTTCTTCCATATGTTCTAGTTCGCAGGATCTTTCGCATCGCCTGGAGCGCAGCCAGGCGCTTGCCGCCAGTTGCCATGAAAACCAAAAGTCTGGAAATGCGTATCGCGGGCTCATTTGTCATGGATGCAGATTATGATGTAGCCCTTGTATGAAAGGCCAGGTGACAGTAGCAGCAGATGCATTGGAGTAGTTTCATCGTTTTCCTCCCGGAACTCCGTTAAAGTCTCCTCTTAAGTCAAGCAGGCTTGGGCAGAAGTAGCCTCTGAGTTGTCCAAGTGCAAGTGCCGGAATGTCGGAGCCGCTGCTGGCCGCCACCCCACTCCGTGACAGCCCTGCATGGCTAGACGAAGTCGACCGGTTCTTCTCCGTCTCCAGACGCGGGAGCACACTTGCAACTGAGTTCCGTGCTGGGACTACTGCCTTCTTGGCAACCGCGAACAATTTTGTGGTAAATGCACATATTATGAGCCACGCAGGGCTGGACCCCGAGAGACAGCTCGTCAGCGGTGCGTTTGCTGCTGGACTGACCTGCATCATCTCGGGGCTGCTCAGCAATCTTCCGCTCGGGATGGTTCCATCGGTGGGACCTAATGTGTACATAGCCTATAGCTTGGTTGGACCTCACCTCTTTGAGGTCCACGAGGCACTTGGTATCTCAGCTGCATGTGGTTTGGTGCTTGTACTTCTTTCACTGACACCTATGCTTCGGATGATTTTGGGCTTAATGCCCTTGAGCATAAAATACGGTCTGCTCGTGGGCACCGGGCTGTTGACGGCCTTCATCGGCTTGAAGTCCATTGGCGTCATCGTGGCAGATGATCACGGCCAGGATATAGTAGCCCTCGGCGACCTGCACAGCCTGCCTTGTTCGATCTCCATCATCTCTTTGATTTTTACTGCATCCATGCTCTACAATGCCATCACCGGATCTGTCCTCATTGGCATGCTGAGTGCCACACTAGCTTCGTGGTACCTACTTGACGACTGGCCCAACAGGTTCGTGTCGTTGCAGGGAGTGCATTTCTTTGAGATTCACTTCGGGATGTTGGCAACTACGCAGGCGTGGGCAGAAGTTGCTTCATTGCTACTAATGCTACTGTTTTCACTCAGCGGTGCCATCATCGGAAGCGCAAAAATGGCCGGCCTTTTGGCCGAAGATGGCAGTGTCCGAGGGAGCACTGCAGTGTTTGTTTCCAGTGGTGTTGGAACGATCTTGTCGGCATGCTTGGGGACTGCACCTATTTTTGTGAGCATGTCTGCAGCGGCTGGCATCCGAGACGGTGGGCGCACGGGCCTTGTGTCCATTGTAATTGGCATGTATTCCCTTCTTACTGCATTCGTGCTCTCTCCTCTTGCTTCTGCCGTGCCTGAGTGTGCTGTCTCCCCCGTGTTGGTGCTCGTAGGTGTCTCCATGACTGGCGAAGCCAGGGAAATTCAATGGTGGAATATGTTGGATGCACTTCCTGCATTCCTGTGTGCCGTTTTCCAGCCATTTACCTACAGCGTTTCTAACGGAATTTATGCTGGCTGCGGAATGTCTATCATTTTGTTCTTTACGACGGGAACTTTCCTGTCCTACTGCCCAACACTGCGAACCTACGCCGGAACACCCAAAGCCAGTTTGCTGGGAGAGACTACACCCCAGCTACAAATGCAAGGATCTTTGGAGTCGATGAGCGTTCCGGATTGTGAGGTTGGCGTGACTGGTGGCCAGCTTCCCATCGAAAGTCCGCTGGTGAAAGCCATGCATCACTATTGTGAGGGAGGTTCCTTTGGTTTGGACGAAGACACGAATGAAAATGATTTTCGCGCGAAGCTGATCCACCTGGGAATCTCTTCCAAATACGAGGCACTGCACTTCATCGAGGAAGCTTCAAAATTTGTTGGGCTTGACCCTGCCAAAATGATGGAGGTAGTGTCGGAGCGTCTTGAAGCTGGAAGAAACGTGGAATCCCACTACATGGGTGGAATCCCAGGCGTTGAAACAGCTCGCACGAACCAGGAACTTCTCCGGCAGCAGACGCTGGTGCGTAGACAATCAGAACATTGGGATCCGGTGTTGACTGCCGCAAAGCAGCGCACAAGAGGCCAGAGCTTTTTCCGGAAAGGTTCTCACCGCCTGTGACAGAGTTAATCACGAACCCATTGGGCTCGCACTGCATTGGAGAAATCGGAGAGATGCCATGGAGGGACCGGTAGGAACCCGGCGGTCACAGCATGCTTGCTAGCTACCGGCGTCTAGACAGTGACCAAGCTGCAGGGCATTCAGGTCAACGCTGCTGACATGTAGGATTATGGAGACAGGACGACGTCAAAGCATTGCAGAAGCAGATGGCTGCCCTCCGAGAAGAGCACGCGGCGGTGGCCAAGGACAGCCGAATACAATAGTCAAAGGTGCCGTGGACATGCGTGTCTTAGCTCTAGTGAGAATCGTGGCATTCCATAGGACGAAGGAGATAACTTGTGCGCAGGAAGCAAGGGGTTTGCAGTGACCTGCAGCTCGTGATTATATATTCGACATGCCAGGAGCGCGATGACTTGCTTCAACGCTTGGAAGATGAGCAAGCTGAGATGCAACTCGGTTTTGCAAACTTCGCATAGTGCACACTGCGGCTCGCTACAGCAGTGACCTCAGGATAGCGCGAGTAGCCGCAGTGGAGGAGCGGCTCTCCCAGCGCGGCTCCAAGGCAAGGCTCGAGTCCTACCTGCGATGGATTTCAACCCGCGTGATGGCTGAAATCGCGTCAGGGCACTTCGAGATGACATGTGCGTGGCCTGGCAACTGCCGAGCCTCCGGTCATTTTCGGGCCTTGAGATGTTGAAATTGGGAAGTCTTGTTTGTCCTCTACTCGCATGGAACAGTTTGCCAGGACGTAGTTGCAGCTGCCGTCCGTCTGCTGAAGCTTACGCTCCCGTGCATGGCTTGGCCTAGTGCTGCCAAGCGAGACATACTGCTTGCTGGAATGTGCCTTAAACGAGCCATCTGGGACCCCCGCATCGAGTTTCACCGCCTTTGCAAAGTCTGGCAGCGCCTTACAGAGAAGGCGTCGCTTGAAGGCGCAAAACCCTCTGCGTGTGTGTGTGTTGAGCTCTTCAGCTTGCATGGGTTGACAGCATTTACAGGCTAGTGGCTGCATTGCTTGTCATGCGATCCATGCGGAGGCCATCGTGGCAGGAGGGAGGTCAAGAGATACCGGAGTCTGGAAAGTTCTTGCAAGCAGCAACAGCACGCAATGAATGATCGACAGAGCTGTTGAATCCACGCACACATTTCAGATCATTTCAGCATAATGGCACTACGCTTCCGCCGCCTGGGTGGCATTGCGGGAATTTCGTCCAAGCCGAGGCTTGCCCCGGGATTGGCAAGATTTGGCAGCAACACGGCTGAGTTTGCTGAACTGGAACATCGTAACTGGCAAAAGGCAGTGCGTGCCTACGACCAAGGGTGGGGGTCCTTGACTCGCCAGTGCATCCCAGATCTGTTGACAGGCATTGGCTGCCAAAGTGGTTGTCGCCTGGTGGATGTGGCAACTGGGCCAGGGTTCGTTGCCGAGGAGGCCGCTAAAGCTGGTGCAGATGTTGTTGCGGTGGACTTCGCAAAAAACATGTTGGAGCTTGCGCGAGCGCGACTAGCGAAATCGTTGGGTTCAGAGAACGTCCAGTGCGTGGAAGCAGATGCGGCCGCAATGCCTTTTGATTCGGAGACCTTCGATGCGGTTGCGTGCAGCTTCGGTGTCCTTCACCTTCCTGAGCCAGAGGCCTTCTTCGCCGAGGCTTTGCGAATCCTGCGGCCGGGTGGCCGTCTCGGCTTTACGGTTTGGGCGCCCACTCCATCCACAGAGGCGCTCGCGCTGGTGCACACAGCAGTCCAGCAGCACGGAAATCCAAATGTTCCCTTGCCAGAAGCACCCCCTTTTTTCCGCTTTGCAGATGCAGCAGATACTGCACGGACACTTTCCGCGGTGGGATTTGGAGAGATTGTGTCCAAGGAAGTTGGAATGTGCTGGGAGGTGAAAGATGCAAGGGAGACATTTGTGGCTTTCCGGGATGGCACTGGGCGCACAGCCGCATTGCTGGCGGGCCAATCCCCAGAACAGCTACAGGCAATCGAGGCCTCCATAACTAAGGGAACAGAGGCAAAACGGAGCGGTCCCGACCAACCTTGCCGCCTCCAGATGCCTTGCATATTGACTCTTGCCACCAAGGGCTGAGCCTGTGGATGCTTGCAGGAAGCGAGCGTGGCATTAGGCCTGAACGGAGTTCACAGTGACGTGATTTTTCGGCGACGAGCTGGACCACCAGAGACTTTTTACTAGTAGCATGCATCCAAGACGCAACTTGAACGCGATCCCAATTCATGACAGCCTGCTTGGCACTGCTCCTGGGCTGAGGTCGCTGCAAGAAGCTGAAACAATCATCATGAGCACACATGGCCATCTTCCAGCAATGTAGAGAAGCCCTAAGTAATGCATCGGGGATCACACAGTACACTCCGAGTCTGATTGCCGAAATACAGCGTTGTACCCAGGCCCAGCAAATGCAAAACAGACATAGTCGGCCTCAAAGCCCACACTGGACATCAATTTTTATGACCATGACAACTCTTCGGATACTTCGGCTGGCCAGCAGATCCAGATCCCACTGCCAAGCCTGGGGAGCAGCAGTTGATCAGAGAAGAGGTGTGCGGCTGAGACTTGCATAATGTCGCTGTAGGCTTGGAAGACCGTGACAGGTCTCAGACTGGCTGGGCCGACATGGGCCAAGCACTGTGCTGCCCAACATCGCTTGGCATCGAGCCTTCCGCCAACAGAGGACCTCAATTGTCATGTTTGGACACCCGGAAATTTCTGACTGCAGAGCCTGCATCAACACCAAAAGGCGTGCGGCGTACGGCAACGGGAGCCTTCGAAGGACTGGCGAACAGTGCCGAACGCGCTGACAGCTTTGCGGCTGGTGGCGGTGCCGGGCATCCTTGCCACCTGGTACTCTGGCATCAAGCAAGGAATGGGCAAGTCTCGACAAGTCGACATCTCCCCGTACAAAATGAGGTACCTTGAGCTCCACGGTGTATCCGCTGCCCTTTTCGGGGCGGCTGCTGCAACAGCAACCGCGCTCAGTATGACACTTCTTCTGCGATATTTGCAACACTGGCTCTGCTTGCAGCAAGGACTGGTTCGACGGTTTCCTTGCCAGACGGTGGAATCAAAAGACTGCTTTGGGAGCCCTCCTTGATCCTCTCGCAGATGCTTGGCCTGAAGGGTGGGTGTCAGCGGAACCCCAAGCTGAAACTGATGCTACATTCGGTGAGAGTCAAAGGCCAGGCCAAGGCCATGGAGTCTGTGACCGTCAGGACAAGCTCCTCGTCTCCTCCACCTTGGTCATCCTTGTGGAGCATGCGGCAAGCCCTGTTGCGGCTTAGCAAGTTGATTTTTCCTGCCAGGGCTGGGACCTGGGAAGCCTTGCGGCAAGTGAGGTCTCGCTGCCAGCGGCGGCGATCCTGGCACGTGAGCTCGGAGTTTCGACTCTTCGGGAATGGACCCAAGCGCATCGGCCCGAGGCCCGAGGGGCTGAAAGACTTGTGCTGTCACGCCGTCATAGGCTTGCAAGAGAAGAGTGGTTTGGTGAGGCTGCCAGCAGCATTTCAGTTGCCTGGCATGGCATCTGGTCAAGGAATTTGGAGTCAACCGTCCGATCTCTCACAAATATAGGGCATGCATTGATTGGGTTTTCATGCAGAACATGCCAGAGCCATTCGACTTGGCCTGGTACAGGGACAAAGCAGTCGCTGTTTGCTGTAGCTGTTGTGGCTTAAAGCAGTGGCTTAGGCAAGGCGAAGGCAGCGGCACAGCTGCTGGCGCTTCAAGGTTTGCTGGCTGGCATCGCTTTGAGAGGCTTGTCTCAAGCGGCTGGCTGGGATCAAGACACTAACGCTTCAGAGAATTCCAACATTGCGAAGCATTTCTGTGTTGCGCACTGTAGGTGACCTGGAAGCGACGGAAGTCGATGAGTCTCAGGCTGTGCACCAAAATGACCGAAGCGAGTCGTGGGTGATGCAGATTCAGAGCTAGCCGAAGTCTTTGGGCAGGCATGGGGCCCTTCGCTGTACAAAGGCCAAGGGAGAAGAGACACTGTTGCTCTTCATTAGCTCACGTTCGTGTCCCAAGTGTCGCAGGAAGCCTGCTTCTGCTGTGGCTCGCTGCAGGGCTTACACTGGGCAGTGGTTTTCAGCAACGTGGTCGCAGCGGTTTGTCACACAATGATGAGGTGTGAGATGTGCAGGCGAAATCAAGGCTATCCGGCTGCTAGTTCATCGCAGACAGTAGGATAATTCCACTTGCTCGCGCATTAAGGTATGCCGCTGCCTTGTCCCAGCCTTTGACCGGATACACTCGGTGTCTTCAAGCAGAGACATGTGTTGTTGCAGACTTTGGCAAGGGTCATGAAACTCCAAGAGCCACGATGCCGGGACGATGGGGATAATAGAAGTGCAGACATTGGCCACAGCGGCTTCAAGCATCGTTCTCAGGCGCTTGTGAGCTACACCTCTGGTGTGAACAGCTCGCTGCCGTCCCGGATTCAAAAATCTTCACGGGACGGTGAGTCTGCATTTGGAGCCTTGGAATTGCAAGCACTGTGCTGAGCCTCGCTGCCACTACCAGCATATACCCAGGTGGTGTACAGGTAGCCTGCATGGAAACAAGACTTGTAGAAAGGCAGCTGTGCGATTCGGACTTCACTGTCAGATGTTCGTCTATGTTAAACCGAGCACATTTTCAAGAGCACTCCGTCCGACCACCGTCGGAGCTTTCCTGTTCAGAGCGGGATACGGCAGCACTTGCCATGGAGCACGCTGCTGGACCAATGCGCTGATGCCATGGAGGCTTCGTGTGGCTGGAGAAGTGAAGCACGTGGGCCAGACATGAGGGGGAGGGCGCGCGAGGCCCACGCGGCTATTGCTTCAGGAGGGTTTTCGTGGTGTACAGAAGAATGAGGGGCTGCCAGTCTTCAGTGCTTCCCTTCGCGTGGATGGGCTCTGAAGAGTGCTTCCAGCCTTCAGGTTCGAGTGGAGGCAGCTGATGGTCTTCCCGCAGATGCGGTGCCCCGCTGACCAAATTCACCGGAAAAGGGCCAAAGAAGCAGCTGAAGCTGGTGAAGTCGAGCCGCCTTGCGCAGCTCGAGATTGGAGTTTGCGCTTTGTGAGTATGATGCACTCCGGTTCAGAAGTTCAAGCCAGCGAAGGTGCTTTCACTGCGGCTTGGGGCCACACGGAGACAAGCTCCCTTACAGCGGCTTGGTTCAACGGCGCTGCAAGACCTGTCACAGTTCAGTAAGCCAGCTTCGGTGGCACGCCCGACTGCATGCCAGCGGTAGCATCACGGAGCTTCACTATCTTTCGGTCTGAACATTTGGGATGCTTCAGGAGCGCACTGTCGCACCCACTGCGCTTTTCAACCTTCCTGGATTCTGCAAGCGTCTCGACCTGACAGAGTGCATAGAGGTGGCACACACACACACACCTTCGCATACCTTCATACCTTTGCAGGCTTTTGGATCTCGAGTAATGCTGCCTTGCCATGGTGTGTCCAGCTGTACGAACGATTTGTGGTTACCCCTTGACTCAGCAGCTTGTTGTTCCTTCCGTTGAATCTCGTTGGGTCAGATCCTGCCAAGATCGAGAAGCCGGATTGCTCTCGCCATATGCTCGCCCCGGCACCTGCACGGTTTTGTTTGCATGTGCATGTTTTGAGGTGAGCCACTTCGCCTCGATGTCATGCGACCAATGTCCACCGCACAGATTGTTCTGAGGGCCGAGGAGACGTGGCCGTGACACGGCGACGAAAACGCGGATTCTGCAGGATAGGCCTCAGCTGTATACTGCGTGTTGTCAGGAGCACCGCTACACCGTGCCCCTCGCAGGTTGTCCTGTGTCACGGCTAAACAACCTCGTGTGTTGAGCAATTGCTATCCCTTGCAGTCGCTTCTATTTTAAGCATGTTGTTTGCAATTTGTCCGGTTCTGATTCTCTCGTGGTGTAATTGCTATCATGATCACGCCCTCTCGCCTTTTGCTGTGTGGGGCCCTTGTTACGACTATGGACTAGCGAGATCGCTCAGGAAGCGGCAATCCAGTTCTCGGTGAAGCCTTCCTTTGCCAAAGCTGCAGAGCGAGGTTCTCGAGCTCAGCTTTGATTTGATGGTAGGCAACATGCTTTGCACGTTTGATTGGGTGAGAGTTCTTTGGCACGGGCAGTAAGGGCCTGTGCTGTTACTAGTAGCAAGAAGCTTCTGCCTGGCAGCCACTACCGAAAGCTAGGACGGCTAACGCTGCTCGGACAAGGTTGATCGCCATGATGGTGTAAAACTACATGCCATACACCGACCTATCAGGGAAAAGCACCGAGGTTAGTTGCATTGTTTTCGCCATGCAATGGCTGCATGAACTAGGCCTTTGCATCCTTTGAGCCGCTGCCCAGTCTTCACGAAAACTTGTGATGAATTGCACCAGATGCCCCCCTCCACGGATTAGATACAACATGGTGCAGGCAACGTATGGCAACGTTAGTTACTGAGTCCCCAGGGTGTGTTATCCAAGATTTTTGCTTTCGGTGAACTTTGTTTTTTGAGGGGTGGCCGATGTCAATTGCACGAACTATGTCTCGATGAGGATTGATTTTGCGGGCACCTTTCCAACACAACCACGCGCGCTGATCATAGTGCCGATGCACGCACTTGTAACTATCGAGCTCGCTTTTGTTGCAGTCCTGACAGGTCGGGCGCCCGATGCATACAGCGCGCCCACCTTACCAGGCTTCAAGGAGCTGACAGCAAGTGGCGTAAGCATCGAAAGAGCCAAATAGCGTTGCATAGAATTGAAGGACGCAGCTGCCTCCGCGAAGGAGACCTTCAGAGCAAACCCAGTGAGCGCCCAGGATGCGCTGTAGCTGTTTGCGCCAGGAATATCTCGAGAGACACCATCTCCTTCAGTACATGCAGTCGCTGCTTCATGCAGTGATTCAGGCAAAGCCTAAGGCGACTTGGAAGTTGTTGGTGAGGGTCGAAGAATGAGCTGCAACCTTAGACCTCAGGGCGGTTGTTGATGTTATCCGTTGGGCCTCACAAAGCAGCATAAGGGAACTAAGTCGAGCTTCGTCAGGACCCTGTCGCCTACATGATGAGTCTTATGAAGACTTCGCAAACTCGCTCCGAGAGCCGGAGGTGCCCCATGGTTGGTGCCATCGAGGATACGGCTAGGGCCTAGGGGGGCCGCAGGGACCGCACACCTGCATCTGCCAGGTCATCTGAAGAGGCTTTTGCTGGGCTTGGGACCCGCAGTTGGCCTTCTTCCTTGGCTCGCCCAGCACATCCGGTGTGCGAGTTGCCCGCTGGCAGGTTCCAGAAGCTCGCAGTGACCCAGGACCACGTGTTGCTCGGCAAGCAGCTCTTGTGCGCTAGTGGAGCTGTTCTACGATGCTAAATTCAAGAGCAACAATCGAAAAAAGCACAAACGCTGGAAACAGGTGCCATTACATGCACAGTTGCAGAGACAGAGGTGCAAGAGCAAAGGACAACGATAGCGAACTTTTGTGCGCGATGAACCCTGCCTGCATGATAACAAGGCGGCTAGCAAGGAGGTGCTAATTGGACAAGCTGCTTCCGATCCAGGCATTGGGCCCGAGGCGGCAGATGCATGCGGATGGCATCGCAGCCCAGTGAACAGCACATAACTTGGTTGGCAGGCGGTGGAAGCGACTCAAGCTGAACCGTGCGCACCCACACAGCATGCAACTTCCCTGCACCAGTCAATAGTCACATCGTAATGCTTCTGTTTGTCCGCTAACAACGCCGGAGGCCAGTTGCGGTTCTGGTACATTGTGCGGGACCACATATGAGGACCAACATGCCTCAGCGCACAAAGAGGCGCCGATCGGTGAGTCGCATGTGTCGGGACAAGTTCCGTTGTTGCATGTTGTTGCGATTTCAGGATTTCGTCTTCGACTCCAGTGTTCGCACACCCACCCTCGAGAAACAGCAGGTCGACATCGCTCCTTGGTTTCTGCGCCCTGTGAGCCGTGAGACCGGGCCCGCCGGCCCGCTGTTTCTGAGCAGCTGCCTCGCACAGAGCCTAAGGAGGATTCGCCTGCCTCTGCAAGCAAACCTCTTGCCGTGACACGTGTGGTGACCCCGCTGCAAATCCAACTTTGCATGCATGCGCACCACTTGCAGCACATGCAAGCCGCTTGGTCATTCGCCCCTTCTCTCGACACAAGGCACTCGATCCGCAGAGGCACGGTTATGCTGGAACTTGGCAGGAAGTCGTGATGCGGATGATGCAGGTTGAAAGAAATACGAGCGAGCCTACAAAGACAGCTGCGAAACACTATCTCGGAAGGGAAACTGGCCCTTCTCCCAGAATGCGGCCGGACCCAGCGACAAAGTTCATAGGAAGAGTTCCCCTGCACCGTCAGGAAATGTCTGTTCAGAAGGCACTGGAGTTGATGACAGGCCCATCATTCGAAGCAGAGGCCACTGAATCACCGCATTCATCCGATCGCTTGCATATGCAGCCCGGTTTACCACTCAACACGCTCGCCGCAAGGAGCACTTGAGGAATGAACTCATAATCCTCCTTTCGGAGAGGAAGGAGTTGACGTCCCGCACACACAGGCGCTGGCGTTACCATGGCGTGGCTAAGATGATATGCTAGGGACGTTGCTTTGGACTCTGGGAAGGCTGACGGAGGAGCTACATCAACTGAGGCAATTGAACCAGGATCTTCACCTCAAGCTATCAAAGAGTAGCGACCATGGGTAGATGCGAAGAAGTTGCATACACCCGTCGAAAGTTTTCAATACTAGTCACCAGCAATTCGCGGTCAAGCTGGCAAAGGTAGTCTCAAGCAATGGCGTCGCAGGTGAAGACCGCTTGCCCCTTGCACTCACTCTGACCAACTCTTCGGGCAGGGCCTTTGCGAAACTGAAAGGCCACCGGCACAAGCAGAATGTAAAAAATCTACCTGGAGCTTCCAACCTCGAACTGGCTTTCATTTGTTGCGTTCGTGTCCCAGCAAAGACATTGACATGGCATAGGGCTGTGTTGATTTTGTGCGATTTTTTGTTGGCACAAGCGCGAGTTAGTGAGTGTAGTGGTCCCCCAAAACAGCCAAGAGTTACCTTGCCAGCACTTATCACAAATCACTTAAACAGAGAGCTCTTGCGCGTTCCGTGTTTCTTTTATGATGTCTTGCAATGGTGGCAGTTCTCCAGTTCTCCACCACGTGCCCCTGGTTGCCCACTATGCAGCTTAACCGGATCAAGGTACATCCACAACACAGCTCATGGACTCAGCCGCTTTTGCCATGGCTGTAGCAAAGCCGCGAGAAAATCTTCAAGGCAATGCAGTTTGCAATAGATTCAATAGATATCTCCGACGTCTCCTTCCCCGCTGCAAAGCAAGCCTAGTACATCTCATCGGAGCGAAACTGTCAGGAGTGATGGGTCCACCTCCTGCAGCCTGTATAAACTTCTGGCACAGTATCAGCGTTCAATAGTCCGGGTGAACTTTTGCCAACTAAGGCCGTTGCACGCAGGGAGTTTGAGCTGTTGCCGAAACTTGGCTGGTGTGTGCTTCGCAAACGTGCATAGCTCGCGTATCTTGTTGAAGTTTCTTCAAGGACATACCATCGGCTACTGCAGTATGGGCAGGAGGTGCGAAGTGGCTGTTTTGGCCGTGAGTTGCTGAAGTGGAGTGCCTTGGTCGATTTTGGTTGGGTGGCGCAGGATTGCAGAAGTGGCTCGGATGATGGTATAGCAGTCGATGTGCCAGCGTGGGCAACGAGCTACCTCGCTTCCGGTTGGAAGCTCAGTCTTCATACAAACTCTGCGAATCGCGGTGCCCACTTCCTGAAGGTGCCACAGAGATGCGTCGAAGCATCCTGGAGATCGGCACGGATGAAGTGCAGGCTTTGGTTGATTCTGCCGCTTCACCCAGAGCTTGGTCATGGTAGATGTACGGATTCACGGACTCCGCAGACTATGGAATACTAATAATACTAATACTAATAATACTAATACTAATAATTATAATAATAATAATAATATTAATAATAATAGTAATAATAATAATAATTGAGTTCCGTCCCCGGCGACCGGGGGTGGCCCGGTGGCCATGGCCACTGTTCCGCCGCTGAGGTTTTGGTGGATTCCACAGACTTCAACCTCATCCAGGAGTTTCCAGATTTCCAGGCCCACAACTGCAAACGTGTGCAAACGCCGTAACGCGTTTGAGCAGAGCTAGTTTGAGCGAGCTTCTGCTCTTTGGAGTGGAAGCACGCTCCAAGCACATCCAAGCACTCAAGCACCAACAGTTTGCAGGAAAACGGCCAAGCAATCGAAGCCTCTCCGACAGCCAGGCGCTGTAGGGCTGCCTGTCGCAGGATTTCTCAAAGCGACGCCTTTTAAACATCCAGATTAAAATTTGACTTGCACATCTGGCCCATCATTGCCCCTATTGTTGTACAGTACTTGGGAACCTGTGAGACTATCCTCCAGAGCAGGCAGCCAAAAAGGAAGCCAAAGGAGCCTCCGAAGAGACAGCTGAAGGCCTACTGTCCGCGTTTGATGCTTAAGCCTCGAACGATCACAGCCGCTCACAGCCTTGCTAACCTTCCTCCTGAGAACTCGTTTAGTCAACGTTTCTGTGAGTGTTGGAAACTGTCAGGAGACACGTTGGGGCCGTTGCTTGGCACCCTGGTGCCGACAGCTGGCATTGCAGCCTGCATTGGGAAGCCGAGGTGGTCGTGCATGCAAGATGAGAGAAGACTGCCCCATTTGTTAGAGGTTGCTTCGTGCAAGGATAGAATTCCGGGTTATCGTTCCCTTTGCAACGCCTGCATGACTCAGAAGGGTTGTGGCTTCAGAAGCTGCCCCAACAGATCTTGATGATCTTGATTCATTGTCCATGTATATCGTACTCATGCGAATCTGTGACGCATGGCAATGCGCATCCGAATCACAGGTCCATTTCTGGTTTGCTCTGCCAAGAGCGGCTGCCGCTTCAAGAAGGAAAGGGAGGATGTGTTGACAAGATGCGACATCCATTCTCCCACGCCTCTCAGCACGGCTTGTTTTAACAGGTCTCAGGACCACTTTGCCGCACTGTTTTGCTTGGTCTTCCATGCAGGACCTCTCAGCGGCTCAGTGGCGCACTTTGCCCGCCGAGTGGCTGCCACGTGACAGAGAAAGTCTTCAAAAATCCGATTAACCAAGATGATTCCAGATTCTAGCAAAAATTCATTAGAGGAGGAGGGTGTCATCCCACTATCTTTCTGAAGCTGAAGCTCCAGGAACCCATGTGAGAATGCTGCTGTGTTGTTACATTCATGCCGGGTAAGCGTCCACCGGGGATGTCGAATCCGCTGTAACATCATCTAATGTTGAGCACGGGAATCCGATGAATCGTGCTGATTTTGGTCTGGCGGTTGTGCACATCGTGCTGCCGCTACAGTGCCGTGCTCATGTTGGCCTTCCAAATGCCGAACGAGAAGTCACTCAAGTATACTCAAGTCCCAGCAGGGGCCCCACTATGCAGCTCCTCGGAGCACTGTCGCATTGTTTGCATCCCACGGTTCGCAATGATTAACCAATGATTTTAGGCAAAGTTTGAGATCATTTGAGATCCTTTAAAGTCTCTAGAGCTGTCCGTCGTGCTCCCACCGACCACAATTCCGCGCACTTCTGAATGTGCGCATATTGGACTCATGGCTTTAGGGGCCTTTTGGGTAGGAATTGGACTGCTGGATTCTCGTTCGTTGTCAGGGCCCTGCACTGGCCTATTTGCCATTCGTTGCCGGTGCCGACACATGTAATGACCCGGATGCTGAGGAAGTACTGGCCGATATCCTGGGCCGCTTAAATGCAGGAGCATTCCGGAGATGCAGCACCACCAGTCAAAAAAAAGTCATCCGAGGCAGCGGTCAAACCGTGGCTGCGCCCATTGAGGCCATGGTTGCAAGCGTTATGTTTGCCGGGGCGAAACATTTCGCACGGTTGGAAGTAGGTTTCAGACAAGGTTTTCCCAAATGCGCAGCACAAGGGTTCTAGTTTTCGTGGAGGTTTGGGGGTTCGTGAGTGTTGTGCGGATCCATTCTGATCGGCATGCTTGGACTGTGACAAGCTAAAAGAAGGTATAGTATCATAGTACCGTCCATGAGGTGTTCAGGAGCGTCCTGACATCCTGTAATGGCGGTGCAGTTCGACACCAGGCATGTGCAGGGAGTTCGGGAGCTCGACAAGCTGTTTAATTCAAAATTCCCCATACACATACACACGCTCAGACGCGCGCTCGCGTGTACGCATGTCGCGGCGGTATTTCAGGATGTAGGGGCATGGACCGCATTTCTGCTACTGGTAAGTGGCTCTTGCTGCTTGTTCACCTCGGCACTGGACCAGGCCTGTGGCATCCCTGGGCTCCTCGCGGCACGTGCGGCCACGGCGAATCTCATGGCGACGCGCCGTACAGGCCCACGACATACTTTGATTGCGTTCATTCAACCTTGCTGCCGTTGTGATCGTGTTTCTGACAGCTCAGCCAGTGCGACCCGGCACTACAGATTTTGCATCCCCCGTTGCAGCTTGATTTGACGAGGCATCCCAGGACCATGCCGCCTCCTCTCAGGAGCCACTGGGTGTGCAGTTGGACAGTCTGATCGTCAGCACAACTTGCAGCTTTTGCTGCCACTGCGAAACAGATGTTGTGGTACTGTCCCCGCCCCACAATGCAGGCGCAACCTGTGCTTCATGACTTTGATCCAACAGACTGTGCCCAGGCTCTTGGATGCATCACTTTCTCAGGCGAGCAGCGGAGGCGCCTGAGATGCCCTGAGCCATTGCCTTTGTCAAGCGTCGAAGAAACGATGTTCGCGAAGGCATTGCTGCGAAAATTTGGGATTTATAGAGGAAATAGACTTCGTGGAAATGCAATCGGAGCAACAGGCAGCAGCAGCATTAGAAATTGGATGGCCGTTCACATTGTAGAAGCTATTTTGCATTTCGTTTGGGGCTTTGTCCGTGGCAGTTGGCATGGCGACCTTTAGCGCGGAAAGCTCAACTTACGCCTCTTTCAAGGGATGCGTAGGCTCACCTGGGATTTCTAGTACCGATTGGCGTCCACGAATCGGATTTGCAATCGCACTGTGCGAATGGCACAAAGCAAATGGCGCCTGCATGTTTCTAGATGTTTTCAACTGGTGAAGATGTGCGGCCATACGTGTAGACCGGGCGTGCTACCAGTATTCTGGTTGCGCTAAATCCAAGAGAAATGCCAGCTAGTAATTCAACTACTCGTCGTGGTCATGGCCTCAGACTTCACTGGGTTCCGCCACCTTTGGTCGGCAGTAAATGACCCAGTCTTTGTTTCAGCTTAAACCAGGACTAGGGCACTCCTTCGGCTGACGGACTCTATCCAACGCTGTCAGGCCATGAACGATGCCGCTGCTTCCCAGACATGCTAATATGTGTGATGTTCATCAGACCTGAGGCGAACACATTCCCTACAACTTGGCTGCACAGCCTATGATCTGCATTGGGGGTGGTAGGGGATGAACCCATGCCATAAGCCAAGCTGCCGGAGAAGGGCAGGGAACAAGTCGCATGAGATTTTGCTCATAACAGCCGGGTGGTGAACGTCCAGCCTGAGGAGTGTCCGAAACGTCCTTGGCGTGCTTGCCATGCAGTAGGCAAAACTCGTTGGCAAATGTACAAAGCGTCGTGCTGTTAAGCGGGAAAGAAAGCCTGCACACGCATTCGCCGCTCGTC